GGCTACGACGGCCCCCTCTTTTCCCCCCTCCCTCCCGTCTCTGTGAAAGATATTTTACATGCTGAGGTCAGAGTCCCTTGAGCTGACAACTGGCTGTTCCTACCAGGCCTACCTAACACAAGAGCATCTTGTGCTGGAGATTAGAGAAGAAGCTTGAAATCTACTCAGTGGCCTGTCTGAAGAACAATAAAAGCAAACTTGATATCTGTGCTTTCTCCTGGGTGCTCAGTTTAGTAACCCCCCCTCCCACCTCCTCCACCCAACCTGTCATGTACATAGATGGGAAACTAACTGAGAGCCTAAACCTGTTAATGTCAGCGGTATTACTCCTGATTTACACCAGTGTAAGACGAGAATCTGGCCCATCGTGTCAAAACATGTCTCTCTCTTTTACGTTCACTGGAAAAGTGTCAAAGGGGATTTTTTTTTTGCTCGTGTTTTAAACCTACGTGTACACGTCTCTTTGCTGAGTCCTTCCTTCTCCCCAAGGTGCTGTTATTTGCATGACTGCTGCTATAAGAGGCTCAGGCATCATGGATGTAATGCCAAATTTACAACGTACAGCTACTTCTACCTGAGTGGAAGGATCTACTGCGGTGAGTTGGCTCCTGGACAGAAAGATGGTGATTCGGTTTTGTTTCTTCCCCTCAATCAGCAAATTGTTTTGCTACTTGGCTTTTAAAATCTGTATCCTGAGCCCAGTCTACTAGAGCTTTTGTTCTTATACGTAAGGAACAGGACAAGAGAACCACAGTCACTGGCTGGCTGAACCTCGGAATGCAGGCCCCAAATCAAGCAAACACTTAAACACGTGCTTATGTGCTGTCCTGAATAGTGATTTTTTCCCCCCTGACCATAGGCTGCACTGATTACAAGGAGATGTCTTCTTGCTCAGAGCCTTTGCTCTCAGCTAGGAGTTCTCAAAACCAGTGGGCAGGGTTGGGAGTGAAAGCCCAACCAGCCCCCAAGCTCAGAATCCCAACAACAGGAAAGAGGCAGAAGAGGGGGGAAACCAATAGAAATTTCATTTGCTTCCCACTGCGAGAAGGGTGGAGAGAGGAGAAATCAGTGGGACGAATTCAGAGGGAAGTCTAATTGGAACTGGAGTAAAATTGGAGTGATGCAGTGGTGAATGATGCTCCGTTTCATTTATAAGAAGCATAAGCTAGTGTAATTTAGATCTTCAAGGCCTTTCAATGTGTGTTATGCCAGCTGGGGTCCCCTGACACTCGTTTAGATTCATGCCCACTTACTAACATGTAACTTACACACTCCCCTGAATCTGACTCAGTAACTTTACTGAATCACTCTCAGAGATGGGAACTTGCACAAGGGATTAATAACTAGAACAGATGCTACTCCCTTTGGGTATGTCTACACTGCGAGTCTCAGAGCCCGAGGCTACAGTCTTGGGCCTGCGCTATAATGCTAGAAATAGCTGTTTGGGCTTGGGTTCTGAAACCCACCCCGATTCCGGGCTTCAGGGTCCAAGCTCCAGGCCAAGCCTGAACATCTACATAGCTACTTTTAGTGCCACAGCACAAGCCTCACCAGCCCGAGGCTGTAGATCCAGGCTCCGAGACTCGCTGCCATGGGTTTTCTTTGCCATGCAGGAATACCCTAATGTGCTTAAAGCTCAATCCTCCAAGTGAGCCACTTAGGAACAACAAGCAATCAATACAGATAGATCGTGAGCAGTCAACGGTTGAGTTTGAGAGGGAAGAACACTGACATTCTAATGGGCTTCCTTTATGTGGAAAGGGCAAATAGGCTACGAGGCTAGGCACTTTCTTAACCCCCAGAATAGAATATGGGATCAAAGGAGAGTCTGGTTACGCATTTTATTATTGTGTGTTTCTATTACGGTAACAACCAGAGGGCAGGCAATTTAGAGACGGAACTTGGTTTTTACAATGTGGAGAAAACGTGCTGGCTGGCTGAAGGTTTGAACACAGCTGTCTTACCCATGTTCTGGAAGTGGGGCTACGTCTGCGTGTCATGGTAGTTTGCTGCTTTATCAGTCACATCCCTGTGCATGCGTCTCAATCCACTAAACCGGTGGTCTCCAAACCTTTTTGATCGCGCACCCCTATCAGTGAAAAAATTTTGAGCACGCACCCCCTGCCGCGCCGCAGGGCTGGCTCTACCATTTTTGCCGCCCCAAGCGCAAAAAAAAAAAGGTCGCTCGGACTCCCGCCCGAACTGCCGAAGTGGCACTGCTCCAGCGGCGCTCCAGCGGCGCTCCTCCTGCCACGCACCCCCAAGGATCCTCTTGCGCACCCCCTGGGTTGCGTGCACCCCACTTTGGAGACCACTGCCCTAAACTAGGAAGCTGGATGCTGGGCTTAGGGCTACTCCCGAGGGACTTGTCTAACTGGGAAATTCCATTGCGTTAGAGCGCACCCCTGTGGGATCAAGGTAATTGACACGATGTTAAACCCGACAGTCCCTGTCTACGGTGAGTACTATGCCATGTTTAACGCTGCATCCGTTACCGTCCTGCCACAAGTTATAACATGATGGACTTTCACATTGTAGACCAGCTCCTAGGTGTCAGCATGTGCTCTCTTGGGGTATGACTACACTGCAATCACAGGGTGAGATTGTAGCTCATGTAGACATACCTGAGCTAGCAGTTATCTAGCTAGCTCCAGTAGTGATAACAGTGAAGTCACAGCAATGTGCGCTTCCGTGCAAGCTGCCCTGCAAGTAGTTAGGGTTCTTGGGTTGGCCCATGCTGAAGTGACACTACCATGGTTTCACTTCAGGATCCCAACTAGCTAGATTAAAGCTATCTTGGGTATGTCACATCCTGGGATTACAGCGTAGACATACTCTTATGTGGCCCCATCACCGTCTCAGCAGCCAACGTTGCCAGCCTCTCTTCTTCTCCCCAAGGCCCTCCTCTCAAACACGCATCCTGTTACTGTTTGTCAGCAGGCTTGGGGAGCTGGTGCAAAAGGGAGAGCTGCCAGTGTGACAGTGACCTTGTGC